GTCTTTCAGGGAAAAACCTATTCCAAGCAATTTCTACTCATAGCTACTTTCTTTTAGAAGCAGCAGGGTAATAGCCCAAAGCTATGAAAGCAGAAATAGCATTTATCAATTGATTGATGAACCAATCAGTCAACAAGTATTTATGTGGTGTTTTCTATGTGTTTAGCACTGTGCTAACTGCTCCCTGGAGACATAAAAGAAATATAAGGCAAGGTCCCGAACCTCAAGTTAAGGTCTCAAGTGACTAATTGATAGATGATTATAAACCAGCTACTAAATTTAGATGCAGAGAGCAAAGTCTGTAGCTGGAAATGACATTTCCTGGCCCCAGGAAATGAATGAGGAAGTCCAGTCTAGCCCCCATATTTCATTATTTTCTGATGCAGGAGGCAATAAGAAGTTGACGTCTCATAAAAGTGCCACAAGGAAAGGGAATATTGAGGAGATTTGTCTGGCAATGTGTGAAGGAAAGGTAATGGTATCAGGGAGACCAGCTGGCTGCTGCCAAAGTCCAGGTTTACATATACGAAGAATATAAGAATGATAAAGCACATGGCTAAGAAAACGAAATCTGAAGGGTAAATCCGAGAGACAGAAACAGCAGCATCCAGCCAGCAACAGATAGAATACAAGGCAGCAGCCGGTCTGGAGCTCAAAGTTCTGGCCATCTGGATGTAGGGGTAAGAGAAATAGGAGCCAAGGATGATTGTAAGGAGTTCGGTGATAAATACAACCACAGCCTCTACATGTTCCACAAAGGCAGTAGAATGTAGTGGACAGAAATATTACCTTTGTAGGCAGTTCGAGTTTGGCTCTACCTTTCACTAACTGAATGACATTGGCAAATTTTGAAACTTCTGTGAGCTCCAGTTTCCCCATCTGTAAAATGAGGATAATAGTCCCTGCTTTGTAGCATTACTGTAGAGTTTGCATGAGACAGCACATATAAAGGGACTGACACTCTGCCTTTGCACGTGTTAGCTTTTATTGCTGCTACTAGCCTAGATGAACTGAGCACCTATTAAGTGTTACATACTGTGATAGGTGTAAGGATTTAGGGACAAAATAGGTATGGCTTCTGTCCTGGTGACACCCACAGATAGATATTGTCTCCTGTGCAGGGAGAATTGTCCCAATGTCCCTGTCAGGGTTCTTCAAAAGAACTAAGATGGCACCTCTCTCTATGTGTGCCCAGGAGAAGCTGGGGAGTTCTACAGCTCTGTTTCCTCTCATGCTCTATGTGTGCCTCACCTGACAGGACCATCTTAGTATTTTTTTTATTAGAAAAATAGACCAGGCACCCTGCAGACCTATCTACAATTCCTGGCCAGCTTGTCATCAGCTCTGTTTACTCCCTTCAAAGATACCACTTCTCTCTTTTTATCTCCTTTTTTTTTTTTATTACCTAACCAAAGCAATGATCCCAGAAAACACACGTCTACATAAAATAGTCCTTGAGTACACCCTTAAAAAATAACTCTTTCCCTTTAAATATGTGAGTGTGGTTTTAGGTGCTTCTTAAGTTTGTAAGTTGTTGGCACCAACTGACGTGCACCTGCGTCTGTTCCCCTAAGGGAGAGGGAATTAGAAGATCCAAGGAGACACTAAAATGACTTTGTTCTTCTCTGCTCTTTGCCTTACACATCCACACCAGTCTGTCCACACCCCCTGGTGGCCATGGGTGGTCTGAGCCAGAGAAGAATT